TGCATACGAATTTGGGTAGCTAAGTTTGCTGAAAAAACAACAAAAATTTCTCAGAATTTTTTCATGTAGTTGATCATGCAGAATAGGAAAGGGAAAATCTTCATAGTGCGTTGGTGGTATCTTGATCAGCAGATACAACCGTTGAAACGCGCTTTGGAAAGTCGAGATCCCAACACTCTACGCAAGGTTGGTGTAATAACGTATCGTCGTGGTTGGTATAGGTTGCTATCAGGCTTTGCAAACTCTACAAGTGATGGCTAGAAGTGGGGCGATGCTGGGCGAGGCCTTGGTGCCGTATTATAGGCAAATATTGCCGGTCTTGAACATGTTTAGGAGTCAGAAGAGCATGAGTATGAGTAGTGTTGGAGTAGGATTATATGTAATCGCTTTCCTCAGCACCTGAGCTCAGGACTTTCCTACACAGTGTTGGAGTAGGAATATATGTAATCGCTTTCCTCAGCACCTGAGCTCAGGAGTTTCCTATACAGTGTTGGAGTAGGAATATATGTAGTCGCTTTCCTCAGCACCTGAGCTCAGGAGTTTCCAAAGCTGATTCTACACGAATTAGAGTAGAAGTGTGCAGAAACTGACCAGAATTTTCTAAAATTTCCTCCCAAAATTTTCATATTGTCACCAACACATGTGCGTATTTTCCCGTAAATTGTCAATGTTTTTTGTATATCAGGAGACGATATGGACTACAGACTAGGAAGAAATATCGGGGCTTTGATAGACGAGACTTTGGGAGTGCTGGAAAAACATGGAGGAGAGGACGTGAGTCATCATAGAGAATTTGGGGGGGATTCCGATAAGAAATTAATGAAGAAATAAACCCGTGTAGTGTTATGTTTAAATGATGAGCTCTGTTGAAGTGTGGGAGAGAAAGTATATATATTGTAACTACATGTGAATTGATGAAAATGTGGACATTTGTGAAAATTTTGGGAAATTTTGGGAAATTTTCGGAAAATTTCGGAAAATTTTTGTTGGTCTTTGTACATTTATATGGTATGAATGTACAGAAATAAAGATATACATTCGTCTCTTCAGCTGAGCTCAG